CCTCCAGGGTGGCTGCAGGTGAACCCTCCCATCTAGAAAGGCTTCCCTCTGCCAAGTACGCACCTCTTCTCCAATTAGCACCCCTCTTCCTGCAGCAGCTCCAAGCACCTCTAGTCTTTCTCCCTGGCATCCCTAAGTCTGCCTCCAGCTCCCTACACACTCTGCAGCAGAGCTCCCCACCTCGATCATCCCCTCCTCCTCTTCTCCTCCCATCTCCTTAGTGCTCAGATCAATTCTGTATACCTGGGCATGGCCTGCAGACTCTTTCTGAACTCACTTCCCAACTTCCAGCCTTTCTTCCAACCTTTTCCCACAAAAACTCATAATCATGCATCCCTACAGTGTCACACAAGTACTGTCTCTGGATCAGAACACTTGTCCTCTTGCCAGTCAGGCAAATGCCCACTCCTCCTCCCCAAGTAGACCTCTGTGTCCACTCCCTCACATTTCAGCCTTCTGTGTACACCTGGCCCTGACCACTGGGCTTCACGCATCTTTCTGTGCAGGAGGAGCTCCATACCAGGGGCTTTGTGGTGTTTCATTCCCTTGTTTAATTGTCCAGTAGTACAGTGCTTGCTCCACCGTAGATCCTCTCGGGAACCTTGGTTTCCTGAACAAGTGGAGCTGAGACCTTCAGGAGAGGGGTTTCCAACATGGCAGCCACCAGAGCTGCCTCTTTGATGGGATAGTAGATATCTTTGTCTGTAGGGTGAACTGAAGAGGAGTCAACCGGTCTTGAGATTCACTTTGGCCACTACTGATTTTTCTATCTCACAGCATCTGGTGGCTTGGAGGCATTTTTGGTCCCTTGCTGGGCCCTAAGGGAAGCCAGATCTCAGTACTCACCCAGAGGATGCTGGCCTCAGCAGAACTGTCACATTGCCCCTCAGCTGTTTTAGTGAGGTCGCCTCTTATAGGACAAGGTATAAATACTAAGAGCAGCAGTTTTAGTCCTGTTTTTTATAGGCAAGGCAGAGGAGTCTAGTGAAGAGTGCAGGCTGGGGATTAGGAAACCTGGGTTTGATTTATTGTTATTATTCTTATTAAAACTAACTGTAGACTGAATATGCAACCACATACAGGCTGTGGCCCTTGATCAGAGGTTTCTGGGGCTGAGTTAAGCAGGTGTACCCATTGCACAAGGTCAGCATGCTGTCCCTTGTCTCTGAAAATGTTGGGCCTGCTTCACTCTCAGCCGTCTGAGCCAGCTAGGTTCTTTCCTGTGGTGGGGTAAGATTTCATGGGCCCAGCCATGCACGTTGGGAGAGTGGACTGCTACAGAGGTAGGGAGAAGCTCCTGCTTTGGCCTTGATCTTGACCTCTGGCTCTGTGTGCTCCAGTCAGTAGAGTCCAGTGACTTGTACTCTGTTTAGACAAAGTCACAAAGTCATGCAAGACCAGAAAGTGAAGCCCAAGTCTATCCTTGAACTTCCTTGAGGCACTCCATAATGAACCTGGGAAAACAGAGGCCAGAGCTGGCCTGGCTGAAGGGTTTTAGGAAAGGAAAGAAAGTCAGTCAATGTGGGTATGGGTGTGTACTCCAGTTGACAGCATAAAATCGGGGACCCTGAGCCAAGGAGAGTGAGCACTAAGGAATGACTTTGCTTGTTAGTCTACTTAAGTTATTCTGTTATAGGAGTGTGGGGCCACTTTCTAGGTGTACCCCGCACACACTCCTTCACTCGAGGTTCAGCAGAGTAGGCTGTTGGCAGTCCTTGCCTATACCAGCTGCCCATCTCACGAGCTTCCTTTCATCAAGACTCTGTTGGGATGGCACAGAACTTTTTTTCAGCCTTTCTGATATTTCAGGAGACTGCACATAGCAATTTTTCTGTATACTAGAGAACAAAAATAACAGACTAAGGAGATCTAAAAACAAGGCTAAGTGTTTCCCTTGATTCCAGCTCACAAGCCTCATATTGGCATTTGTAGAAGCATTCCTAACTGTTTGAGGTAAAAAGGCAACATCTGCTACCTCCCAGCTGCCCGTGAGTGTCCCCATCTAAGGCAGGGGCTGGGCTAGGGGCACTGCAGCCTGGGCAGCCAGGAAATCTCTGGGCAGCCTTTGGCCATGTGACTACATGTTGGCCTCCAGGGTGACTGTGTGTCCTGCCTGTCCACTGCATAGCATTCCTACCTATAGTATGAACACCTAACAAAATTGAATTTTGTAGAAATGCAAACACATCCCCAAGGAACATTGCCAGTGGCCTCCTAGAGCATCAAGTATGACACTCCACTTAAGTGGAGGCAGCTGTCTACCTTGCCTGCACCATGATCTGCCTATGGCTCAGATCGAAGGCCAGCCCTCTTTCTCCTTCCTGCAAACTTTGCCACACATGGTTGATCTTAGGTGGTGGACACTATATTAGGGTGTGCTGACCTGTACCCACATCTTCCCTTCTCACTGAGCACACGCAGGGCAGAGGGTTTCCTTATAGGTACCCCTATGTCTTGACTTGGTCCAGAGACCAACCCAAAGGTATACCCTAGGAAGCGAAAGCAGACTCAGCTGCTCAGTGAGCCGAGCAAATCCCCAGATATGGTGGCCTCTAGGTCTGCCCTTCTTATGTGTCATTTTTGCGGTGGTAAAATTAGAAGGGGTAACAGCCATCTAAGAGAGCTCTCATCTCTGCCAATAGAAGTGCCTGGTGTTGCTTCTTTGTTCAGATCACTCTATGTCTCAGGTCACTGAAGCAACTTACAGTTCACCACCGACTATAGCCCACTGTCCATCTGCTGGGTGCATAAGCGTACAGGCATGAGATCTTCTTACTGCCTAGAAAACAGGTCACCATTATCCAGTCCTCAATCTTCATTCATTTATTTATTCGTTCATATAGTCATTCACTTATTGAATATTAATTAAGTGCTTTCTCAGTCTGGTGCACTGAGCTAGCCCCGTTAGTAGGTGTGTCGCAGCATCATTTTTGTACTCCAAGGACAGTAGCTGCCCTGTATACTAGAAGCCAGGAAATCTCTTGTCCATGTCCATCTTTTGAAGCAGACCAACTCTCATTTGCTTACATAATTTAGATCTAAGCTCGATGACTATGGCTATACAGGCTATGTAGTGCACAACTTTTGAGTGTCAATGTACAACATAGAAGTCCTACACTGGGGTCCACAATAGGTTGGGTTCCCAACCGTCATTGCCCACACTACTCACCCATGTAACATGTTCGGATCCAACTGAGATGTGTTAGAACTTCATCAGTGAGGGGTGCTAATGTGGCTACTACACAAGAAGGCTGGTCTTTGGTTGGTATCTTTTACATCTAGTCCTAGAAGCTCTGTGGCCATGTCCATGGAGGAAACTCCCATGGAGCTCAGTTGGCAGGCAAAGGAAATGCAGAATACTGACTACCTTCTGTGATACTTGCGTGCAAATCTATCTGAAATTTAAAAGGCAAAGCAAGAAACAACACAACACAATGAGAGGCAACCAAACTCGCACCCAAGGGCTTCAGAGGCTTCAGATTTCCCCCTCCCATCATCCTCATGGCCCCTGGTCTTAATTGCCATGTGCCATTGCAGCTGGGCTATCAACAGGACTTAGGGATGGACATTCCCAAGGCTTCCTGCTCCAGTGACCTAGTGTGTCACCCTTGTACGTTGATCCCTTTGACATTAAGCTTGAAACCAGGAAGCAGGGAAGCCCTAGGACACTGACCCTGGGGCATCTCTGCTGCTCCTCAGAGCCAGTTACCTCCTATCTGGGCCTTTGGCCCATCTGTCCAGTGGGAATGGCAGTACTGGCCACAGTGTACACAACACAGGGAGAAACCAGTGCTTTCTTGCACAGATGTCACACATGTGGTCAAGTGAGGACCAGTAGTCAGGCCTTGGCAGGAGGGAAACAAGGTAGGGAAACTGAATGTGTTTCTCTATGGGCTAAAGGGAAAAACTCCTTGGCCGATCAGGTCTGCACCTGACCACACTGCAAAAGCCAGCACCACCTGTGTGCCTTAGAAGTGCCAGAAGTGCTCAGAAGCCATGTGATTGTGGTAGGGAGAGTCTTGGCTGCCTGGAATCGAAATTTCTAGCTTCTTGGCCAGAACACAAGTTTTGTTTGTATTTAAGAGTATTTTTCCTTTTGGGTGTATGCTCATTAGAATAGTACATGGGTGTGGGCACTCACACATGTGTATTCATACACGAGGGCTACCATACACATGGATTTCCACGTGGGTAATTTCAAGATTGGAATGTGCATTTCTTCACATGTGATTTCTACTAAGTCAGTGGTGGGATCTGGGTGATGAGAATCAGTCTCTTATTCCCTCACATGTGGCCCATCAGTGAGCCCATGTTTTTGAACTCATAAGGAGTAGGTGAGGATGGATGGAAGTGTGCACCTGTGGCATTACAATGTGTAGGCCTGGTAGCTGACACAGTCGGTATTAACCACATCAGCTTTATGGGGATAGAGATGCTTCTAAGTGAGAATGGTCCATACACTCTTCCAAGAGCAAGCCACTCGCCTGCCAGCTTTAGAGCACAGGACACTCCTGGAACCAATGCAGAATGCAGGTATGCAGTGACTGAACCTGCAGTCTTGAGTTCCTCAGCCCCAGGATGGTGCAGTCAGACATGTATATGATGCTCAGTGAGGACACTGCCTCCCGCTTTGCCTACTGCATTTGCCTACTGTGTTGTAAGTGCTTAGTGTTAAGTGCCTTCTTCATTCAGACAATACATACTGAATGCCTACTTCTTGTAGATATGGCCACTCATAGCAAACAGGTGGCAGAGAAGGATAGGTGATGTTATCCTCATTTTTGTCACATGGCTTATTGAGATTAGAACCAGAACTGGAACTCTGGACATCTCTGCATTGTGAGACTCTGCACCCACCCTGTTAGAAGCCTGTGCTGACACTTGTCTGTCTATGGATGCATCCTCAAGACAGTGCAGTATAGACACCTGCACAGGGGCCCTCAGGGCCCCCCCAGGAGGGGCCAGAGAGCCTCTCTGTAATGCCACCACTCTCCCTGCAGAGTGGCGACAAGGAAGTGGGGCAAGGATGATCCTGCAAGATGAAGACATCACCACCAAAATTGAGAATGACTGGAAGAGACTAAACACCCTGGCCCATTACCAGGTGAGATGAATATGGAACACAGGAGCTGGCCAAGTAGCTGGCCATTTCCTTGTTTACAGGGTCACTGCAAGACTAGACACCGAATCATAACCACTTTCTCACCAGCAATCCATGCTCTCCTGGTGACTCAGGGGAAAGTGACATCACTCAGCCAGGGAACCTGGCCTCTTGGAGATAGGATGCTGACATGCATGCTTCCCATAGGGCTTGGGCAGAGTCCCCAGCACAAGGCACTCCCTTAGAAATTTCCTGGGCATTTAAGGCTGGGTGGTGTCCTGGGGAGCAGAGGAAAGGAGACAGCCTCCAAAGTTCCCTAGCTTTCCATCGAGGTGTTAACTATCCTTTAAGACCAAGCCCTTATTTCCTGGGTTGCAGAGTTTCTGTGCCCATGCCTTTAGATGCCTTTTTTTTTTCCCTCTAGGTGCCAGATGGCTCTGTGGTGGCCTTAGTGTCTAAGCAGGTGACAGCCTATAATGCAGTGAACAACTCCACAGTCTCCAGGACCTCAGCAAGTAAATATGGTAAGATCTTAGCAGATTTTCTAGAGAGATGAGGGGGTCCTGAGCAGCTGTTATCATGGTGGCAGCACAGCTGGAAGCCAGGGGACCTGTGGGGCCAGGTTTGGGGTGAGTGGGGCTGGCTGACCAGCAGGGAGAAGGGCCAGGCTGCAACCAAGGCACCTGGTTCTAGTCTGTAATTCAAATGCATGAACGGGACTTCATTCATGCACTAGAGAAAAAAATCTAACCTTCATCAGTGTCTTCCAGTCTTTAGCACATGTTCCATTTTGCGATTATTATCTCACATCGTGTTCATAACAATCCAGTGAATTAAGTAATTATTATTTCCTCCTATTATGTAGATTAGTAAATTATACCTCCGATGCGCAGAGGCTAAATGACTATAAAGGTCACAGTATTATTATGCAGTGGTATGGAGGGGCAGGCCCAGATCTAAGGCTGTGCAGCTGAGGAGAAAGGCATGTGGGACATGGAGTAGGGACCCCAAGGCAGCCTTGTTCTGCTCCACTTTTGTGCTTCAGTGCCAACCACACAGATCCATCGTGAGTCTTGATGTTCTTACCAGGAAAACAGGGATTGAAAAAACAACCAACCTTATAGGGCCATTGTGGATCATAAATACATGAATACATAGAAAGGTGTCACAAACAGTAGGACCATCATCCTCACTTCATTGAGGCAGGACTTTCAGCAATCAGTGGGGAGAATGCAGGTGAACAGTGTGCAGGCAAGGCCTGAGCTGGTCAACGTTTATTAAGGGAAACAGGCTACCTGCTCTTGAGTGTATACTTAATCAGCTACACTGAGCACATCCAGAGACAGGACTTGATAAGTGATGCAAGGACACATGGAAGAGACATACAAGCTTATATTTTCACAAACTGAATAATAAAGGATTGACTTGACTCAAAGTACGAGAGGGAGGGTGGGGGAATCTGAGTGGGTAGAATTAGGCACAGATAGTTTCCTGGAGATGGTGAGAAAGGCATCTGTGTTTTGGGCAGTGTACCAAACACAGGCAAGGTGATGCTGCCAGGCAGTGGCAGGAAGGATGAGGCAGTAGTTGGCCTCACAACAGGGAAAGGGGCATGTGTGGGTTACCCAGTGTAGGGCTATGTGGTCTTGCACACACTGTGGGGTGTTCCTTGTGTTGGCAGAAAACATGATACGGTACACGGGCAGCCCAGATAGTCTCCGCTCGCGAACTCCCATGATCACCCCTGACCTGGAGAGCGGAGTCAAGATGTGGCACCTGGTGAAGAATCATGAGCATGGGGACCAGAAAGAGGGTGACCGGGGGAGCAAGATGGTGTCTGAGATCTATCTGACTCGGCTACTGGCCACTAAGGTACTGGGCATGAGAGCAGGTGCCTGGAGTCTGGGAGGCACAGGAATGGCTGTCATCTGCCCACAGAAATGCTGGAGCTGGAAAGACTTACCTGCCCACAATGGGTGCACTGATCAGCCCTAGGACTCCCCAAAGACAGAGCCTCAGAATCCTGCTCAACTCTGGGCACCAGGGAAACCCCACTAAGATCATCAGGGTTGGCACACTCTCCTCCCCTCTCTGCACCATTTCTCAAATACAGAGCTGCCACCTGTACCTAATGTCTCTGCCATGCCGCATCCAAGAATTACTTTTTCCCTAGGACACCACTAAGGATGGCAACTGAGGCTCTTTTGATGACTTTCCAGGTACCATTTCTAATCCTGGTCCTGGGGACGGCTCCTGCCTGCAGCTTCGCTCCTTCTCTTCTAAGACTGAGCCTGCTGGGTCTCTGCAGAGCTGGACGCATAATTGTTCATTAGCCAGTATGCATGAAGCCCACACAAAACTAGCAGCTTGTGTTTGTCGGCTGGCTCTGACCAAGTGCGTGCTCATTAGCGTTTATGAAAAGTGTTAAAATGACACCCCAAGAATGCAGAACTAAACCATGTGGCTGGCAGAGGGAGGCTTGCTCAAGCCCTGCCATCACTGTGCTGTCTACATGCCATGAGCTAAGGAAGTTTAAAGCTATCAGAGTTGGGTGAAAGGGGAAAGATGTAGCACACGGACTCACCCAAAGTCACCCAAGCAGGGCAGGCTGTTCACCAACTTCCCTTGTCCACATTGCCAGGGCAACTTTCCATACCCTCTTCTGAGCTGCCTGGGTGTAGCCATGTCTGACAGTGTCCCCCTCCCCAGGGCACACTGCAGAAGTTTGTGGATGACCTCTTCGAGACCATCTTCAGCACGGCCCACCGCGGCTCTGCCCTGCCACTGGCCATCAAATACATGTTTGACTTCCTAGATGAGCAGGCTGACAAGCACGGCATTCATGACCCCCATGTCCGCCACACTTGGAAGAGCAACTGGTGAGTGAAGGGAGGTGGTGTGTGTCATGAGAAAATGGTGACCCGTGCAGCCAGTCCAAAGTCAGTGTGGGACCCAGGCCTTCTATAGACACTCTGGCCATCCTCCACCTGCATCAGCAAGGCCCTCCCCATCCTCTACTGTGCTTTTGTGCTTACTCCTTCACCCTTCCCTCTCCTCAAATCTGTGCATCTTTCTTCTCATTCAACATTTAGTGAACTAGCTCAACAAACAAGATAATATGCCTACGTCACAGCAAGGCCATTCTTAAACCAGGTACCTCTGGGGTGCCTGGTGTTATGCTAGACATTGAGGATACCAGATTAGTCAGCTGTCTGGATAGAGAAACAAATACTACAATAGGAGTTCATCATGTGCAGTGGAACCACAGAGGGCCAGCATCCCATGATGACTTGTAAGTGGGGCTTCAAAGCACACCCAAGAGCCAAGGGCTATTTATGTTTTATTTAATAAGCTGCCCTTTTACCTGCGCCCATGAATTCCCTTTCCAAGCCCTGTTTGGGCAAGAGACTTGCCTGGGATCACTTTGTGTGCCCCAGAGACGCCAGTATTCTCTAAGGACTAATGACACTACGTTTCTCCACTATGTCTCCTCTCTCCTCTAATGTATAACACTTCCTTCCACATGTGCATAGTTGGTATTTCAGGTTGAAACTACAAGGTGAAATATCAGGATTTTGCCTGCAGCATGGAGCCTTGCACACTGGAAGTGGGCCCAGATGAGATGCAGAGCCAGGATGGCCTCTGTGTGAAAGTTTCACCTTGAACAAAGCTGGCTGGTTCTTAGGTCCATCCATTCCAGAATCACCTCCCTATAGCCTTCACCTGGTCCCTGGTTCTGGGTTGGTTTCCCCGGATCACTTTGCCAAGGCAGAATGGGCCCAGTACCCACTGCCTCTGATTGCTGGGACCACCACGGCAGCAGGACATAGGCAGGCACCCTACAACCACCCCCAGGCCCAAACCAGGACACAGAAAATGCTAAAGTCAGGTCAGGCTGTGGAATATGGATTTCCTGGTATATCGGTCAGCTTTCTCACTGCTGAGGCACAATACACAACACCTACAACTTAAAAGAGAACATTTCATTTGCTCAGGGTTTTAGTACATGGTCAGCTGGTTTGAAGGCAGAGATACAATGTTGGAAGGGTGTGGTGCAATAAAGCTGCTTAGTTCATGGAAACCAAGAAGGAGATTGAGGGAACAGTGCCAGAGAGGAAGGGGCAAGGGACCAGATACAGAGCACAAAGCCACACCTCCATGACCCACCCAGCCATACCTAGAAGTGTACTCCTCTGTGCCCCAGGGGGGATCCCAAAGCCAACCAGGTTGAAGCTCCATCCTAACCACCATACCTGAGGTGGGCTCTAGCCTCTCCTCTCTTTCACCTGGAGAAGAGTGTGCTCTGCATGGGGATGGGACACCAGACCCAGATGGGGGCCTGCAGAGCTGAGGGTGAGATTCTCACCTGCTTTAACACTGAGGAGAGAAGATCTATTGCAGAGTTCTTCCACCTTTCTAAAATAGGACGTTGGAATCTGGCTTCCCTGATGATCAGCGTAGCAACACTGGGGGAAGCCATTTCTTCCTAATAAGTTCTTTACTCTGATCAGTCCTCTGCCTACTTTGGGTGGGTTGATATTGAATTCCCCCCATCTTCTTGGCATGACTGTCACTGATCTAGAACATCAGCAGCTTCAGGAGGTAGGAAGTGCTCTGTCCAAATGTCTCTTGGGCTTTGCTGGAGACAGCTGGCCCTTTTTATATTATGCTGTCTACCTTCAGATGCCCACTACTGAAGAACAACTTCCTGGTGTCTACACCCCAGTCTCCAGCCTGTCACTCTGGCTGGGCTCCCTCAAGGGAGCCATACTGTTCCTGGGTTGAAGGCAGAGCCTCCCTTTCTCCCAGCTCTTCCAAGTTCTTGGTTTTGTCATGTAGAACTCCAGGTCCAGGGGCAGGAAAGCCCAGAAAGTAGACAGCAGCACCAGGTTCAAGTTGCCCCTACAAAGGACATTTCCCTGACCCTGATCTGATCCGTCCCTACCTGAGCAAGAAGCGGTCAGGGCTTATGAGACCTGTATATTGACTTAGGGCTTATTGTCCCTGATTGAGAGGAGATTGTTTTGTTTTTTTTTTATCCCGGCTGAAGGTGTAACAGTGCTCCCACCTCTTCTGCCACAGCTCCCTACCTTTTCTTTTAAATAAGCCTCCTGCTCATTTAGCCTGAGTGGCTGCAATCAACCAGATTAGTGGCACCACTAATGTTAATAATATGCTAATATTTCATTAGGCAAGAGCCACAGTAGTGGTGCATGACTTCCCTGTTTGATGTGCTTGTCATTACAATTGGCTGGGGGCAGGGCACAACCAGTGCGGCAAATGTGGACTTTTCGGACTTCCAGCATCCGCATTCTGGGAGGGACGTCTGGAATGCTAGGAAGCTGGAGTCTGGAGACTTTGTGAGCTGGGAAGCCATGAGTCCTTCATGGAAGGCTCTGACCTCACTGATCATGATCTCCCTGGGGAAGGCTGGGTAGCTACAGTGGCAACTCTTCACTCATGTGTTGTGACTCAGCTGTCCCTGGATGCCATATTTCCAACAAAGAAGCAAGCGCTCCCGCACATTGTCAGAACTGTGTGCTTGCTGGCATCCTGCACATGGCTCTCACTGGAGAAACTTTACAAATACTTGTTAGTTGATTGACAATCTTAAATGTTAGGTCTTACTGTATTTACAGTGTTTGTTGCTTGTACATACTTGCTTCTGGCAGGTACAATGAGTAGAGAAATACCGTACTCACCACACTGAAATAATGATATTCAAAGAGTTTATATTCTGAAAGGCAAGCCAGATATGTGCATGCATTAAAATTCTCTCCAATGGCGAGAACAGCCACCAAAACAACAATAAAGCATCAGGGGACATAGAAGGAGGCATGGAGTGACAGCAAATGGGGAAATAAGTGCTCCTTAGGTGGTGCCACCCGCTTCTTCACTGAATTATGGGAGGTTGGCTGGAAGCCTAAGAGCCAAAGAGGCAGAGTCAGGCTTCTCTTGACCCTCTTGCAAAGGACAGTGGCTTAGACTACTAGACATAAGGCACTGCTGTCTCCTCTTTGTCTCCCTCTTTTATGTTGATCCCCATCTGCTGCCCCTCCCTGACACTTCCTCCAGGCTTTGCCCAACCAAGGAACCCCTATGTGTGGGTTTTATTTGCTTTGTTTATTGCAGTACTGGAGATTGAACCCAGGGCCTTTGCACTGAGCTGCATCCTCAGTCATTTTTATTTTTTATTTTGAAAGAGGGTCTCAGAAACAAAATAACTAAAATGCCCAGGCTGAGCTCAAACTTGAGATCCTTCTGCCTCCACGTCCCAGAGTTCTGGGATTATAGGCATGCACCACCTCGCTTGGCCTGTGCAAGTTTTAAAACTCAGACAGGTATTCCCTCCACACAGGCTTTGTGGACGCTGCCCACTGGGTGGCTCAGAGCCTTTCTGGGTTCGACCCTGAACCCCTGCCTTCTCTGCTTCTAGCACCACTAGCTTGTGCACACACACTTGTTCACCTGTCTGTCTCCCCTACAATCCCACCAGCGTGAAGCTTCCTGAAAGCATAGGATGTGTCTCAGTCATTGCATCCCTTGTCACTAGCACAGCTCCCAGAAAGGAGGGAGGAAGTGCAAGAGGGCAGATGAGGGCCCAGATGCCTGTTGGTGAAAAATCACTGAGCTGCCTCACATTCACTGCCCCAATGCCTTCATCAGACAGGAATGAGCCTATGAGACTAGTCAGGGAGGAAGGGGTGACTTTGATCTGATCTTACAGTAGGTGGCAAAGGATCAGATACAAATCCTACAGTCCAGGTGGCTCCTTAAAGCTTGCCAACTGGATGATCCAGTTGCCAGCATGGTGAATGGGGTTGAAGGAACAACGGAATAGGAAGTGTGAAATTCTACCTCATAGCACACATTGTAACTGCTTCTCACACCAAAGGGAAGAGTCCCAAACCCTTCTTCCCAGCTGGATGCTAAGCCCTCTCCAGTGCCTTCCAATAGTGTATTTCTGGGTTAGTGACTCACCTTGCTGAGCTGTAGTTTCCTGCAAGGGGAAAGGGAGCCCAGCACACTCCATCCTGGCCTACAGAAGGCTTCCAAGAACTGTGAGTGTCTACCCTCTCGCCTTCCCTTGAGAACTCTGGCAATGCTGCTGCCCTGCCCTGTCACCCTGACCATCTGCCTGCCTTTCCCTCCATCTAGCCTGCCCCTGCGGTTTTGGGTCAACATGATCAAGAACCCACAGTTTGTGTTTGACATCCACAAGAACAGCATCACAGACGCCTGCCTCTCTGTAGTGGCTCAGACCTTCATGGACTCCTGCTCTACATCAGAGCACCGGTTGGGCAAGGATTCACCCTCCAACAAACTGCTCTATGCCAAGGACATCCCCAGCTACAAGAGCTGGGTGGAGAGGTGAGTGTGGCTGGGGCTGGAAGGGGTAGGATACACTGCCCTAGACCTGTGGCCTCCCCTTCAAAGTGGACTGCCACCCTGAGATAGTTCCCTCAAAGAGTTGGTCCTACATGGCAACATCACATACACGCCACCTCCACTGGCTCCACCAGGCTGTGCTTGGGGCCAACTCTAGAGAAAGGCCAGCTCCATGAGGGTCCTAGGGAACTTTCAGAGTATTGGTGCCTTTTAAAAAATGGCTTGTTGGCAGGCAGAAATCCCACAGGATCAAGTTCAAGTCCAGGGTCCAGGCTGACCTTTCTCTCCCTCACTGCAAAGCCAGCTGATGAGAACACTTGCATGAAGTTCACTAGTGTGGCTTAATTCCATTCTTTACAATCAATGAGGCATCTCTGTGGAGGATCCCAGCACTGGGAGTGAGAAAGAAGCAATTGTGAATGTGACAGAGTTGTCAGCAGGGTCATCAGCAGGCCCAGGAGTGGGGTCATAGCTAGGGTGTGGGCTGGGCAGGGATCCAGAAGGGAGCAGGAAGCATCAAGACAGAATGAAACACACCCTGCAGAGAGGATGGAGCCACATAGTGGCAGGCAGCTGAGGTCCAGATCCGGCTGGACCATCAGCCAGATTTCAGGCCCCATATCCATTAAGGCTCCAAGCTGCCGGTGGCCACCAAGCTCAGCCCAAACTTGCCAAAGATGAGGCCACACAGTTGACGCACTTTGGACTATCATGGGGCCACAGACATGCACTGGCCCAATCCAGCCATCCCTAGGCAAAGGCAGGAGAGAAAAGGTAGAGCACTCAGTGTGGCTGTGACCTCATGTCAGGGACAACAGTGCAGTCCGGCCCAGGAGTGCATGTTCCTCACCAACTTCAGAAGAGAAGATTTGGGGCTGTGCCTCACACTTCCCACTCTCAGCCTCCCAGCCTGCCCTCGCCCATGTCGCTCACTCACACATGCATATTTCCTCAATATTCTCCTTGGAGAGAAGGGCTGGATTCTTAGCACCCCGCCACAAAGCAAGCCATGGTGAGAGAGAATGATTGGCATCTCTCGTTTCCAATGGGGAAGGATCTGTCCACTATAGGGCTATTGGCAGCCTGGGACCCCATCTACCTCGGGGACCATAAAGGCTCCAATAGGAGCCCTGGTGCTATTTGCACAAAGCTATCAGAAGCATCCATCTCCCTGTGCCAGAGTTCTTGAGAAGGTAACAGAAGCAGCGGGAGCCCTGACTTCTGATGACAGTTATATCTCAGTGGGAAACTGGATGTTCATCCTGGTCACAGGCTCTGGCCTTGGACCTGGCTGTGTGATCAGAGTATAGTAGCCAGATGCTGGTCATAATATCAGAGTGAGAGAGACAGCATTGTTCCTGCTGTTCACCATTCACCAAGGTGACCCATGAAGATAACCATTGCCTTGGCAAACCTATCCTGCTAGGTAAGTGTGGGATCTGTGAAAGGACAATGATACAAATCCCTTTGGGACTGGCAAGGTTGGGAGCCATGACTATAACCCCTGGTCTCTTGCTGTAAGGAACATTGGCATTTATTGCATGCAAGAAATAGTGGCAATGTATTGAGTCTCTCATTAGAACTTTTATACCTGTAATGTCATTACTATCTAATCCTCATCCTTATTGCTAGTCTGGGCAGTGTGTCATGAGCCAGCCACTTGGCCAGCCAAAATGTAGCATGAGGCTGGGTTTCCAAGGGCCACAGGAACCTCTGACCAGCTCTTCCTCTCAGAGAACAGGCTTTATCTCCCTATTTCTGCCTCCCCACAGACCTGAGGACAGACAACTGGTCTGCAGACCAGCAGGGCTATGGCTCAGGGCAGGATGGCCATTCCTGCCCTCGCCTGTCCAAGAATGCTCAAGTGGCAAATTGAGCTGTCATTCTGTTTTGCTCCCTTGAGCCATCTCTGCTGGTCTGTCACTCAAACCATGAGCACTGTGAGGGGAGGGGGAAGTTGGGAAATTCATGGGCTCCTGGGGTCATCAGACCTAGGTGAGATTGTCCAGAATCCTCTTAGGATGTCTTCTTCCTTTGTGTCATGTGATCAAGCCTAGAGTCCTAGGAACTGCCAGGAATTGTCACTGTCATCCTGTCATCAGCAGATCCCCACCCCAAGTCAGTACTTCTCCCGAACTCAGGGCCAAAGTGTCTTCCCCCAGCCCCATCCTAGGTTCTCAGACTGCATTCTCCAGCCAGGCAGCACCAGGGACTGTATGGGCTGGGCTGGCAGCCACAGGCCTCCTGGACTTGCTAATGCCTCCCTGTCTTTTAGTTACCTCTTTTCTTTTTTGTTATGTACAAGCTGGAAAATGTGTAGGAGAAGGTGAGAGAGAAGTGGCCATCTCTGGGCATTAGGGCCTTTCGGTTTCTCATTAGGAAACTGCACAGCTCCCCTCTGGCGGGGGAGTTGGGGTCTGGTGCATAAAATGTCAAATTGCAGAAATTAAAAATGTAAATGCTGGCATCTAATTAACCAGTTGACAGTAGTGCACAGCTGCAAGTGACAGTGACTGATTGCCTTCTGCCAGCTTCTCTCTCCGAGCAGCCACCCCCCCACCCCTCTCTCAGTTAACCTGGGAAAGCCCAGGACACCAGGGAAGAACGGTTGTTGGAGTGCCCTTCTGGCGCTGCTGGAGGGATCCTGGGGCTGTGAGAGGAGACACTGGAGAGACACAATGCGGGGGTGGGGGGGTGAGCCTCTGTGCAAGTGCTGGGAACAAAGCAGCAGCCTGAGTCAGGACCCCTTTTCCTCCTGATCCTTCTCTGGCCACCCTTCAACAGTGTCTTGTTGCTGCTCTCCTTCCCCCAGAGCTGGAGAAGGCTCATCCTGGGGCTGACACCAAGGTTCAGCCGGGGGAGAGAAAGAGGTTTCAGCTCTGTACTCTCTGCGCCGCCCCAGCTTCTCTCCCTCGCACCCCTCGGCAGGTATTACTCTGACATCGGGAAGATGCCAGCCATCAGTGACCAGGACATGAATGCATACCTGGCCGAGCAGTCCCGAATGCACATGAATGAGTTCAACACTATGAGTGCGCTTTCGGAGATCTTCTCCTATGTGGGCAAATACAGCGAGGAGGTGAGCCCTGCCCTTCTCAGCCTATTGGGAGGGAAGAGGGGTGGCCCTGCATGCTTCCATGTACAGGAACAGCCCCGTCATCACACCTTCCTAGCTTTGCCAGGAAACTCAGCTACGAGGGGCCATGCTACACAGGCTACGAGCCTGGCAATGCCCTGTCCCATGCGTTCTCCACCAATCCCTGTTTCTCTTTCCACAAAGGGTAGTTTATTTCATTGGTCTTCTTTTTATTCTTATTTCCTTCCCACTATACCCCTTTTTTATTTTTTCCATCATTCTCTGATCTAATTTTCTTTGTATAAACACCTCCCCACTCCCTTGGACAGGTCATATGGTGTGGTGTGATACAGTATGCTCTGGAATGGATCAGAACAGAACCAGAACAGAAGGAGAATAGAATAGGATGAAATAGAATAGAATGAAACAGAATGGAACAGAAAAGAATAGAATAAAGTAGAATAGGATTGACTCAAACAAAATAGAATGCAAATAGAATAGAATGGAAGGGTGAAACAGGATGGAATGGGATGGGTTTTTAGTTGCTGTGTTCCCTAGTTGTAAAATTCCACCCAGAAAATCACCACTATAGGTTCTGCCTTTTTCCTGGTCAGTACTAAGGTGCTATAGGAGCTTTCCTGGTCGCTCAGTTACTGACCAAGTGGGCTCAGAATCCAGATTCCCTGTCTCTAAGTAGAAGCCATGGGAATTGAAGCCAGAGCCCCAGGGACTCTACCTCCTCATGGCTTTGTCACCCAGATAGGGTCTAGGAACTGTGGTTAAAGATGGCCCAGCAGACCCACAGCCTCATGTTCTACAGCCAAAGAGCAGCATATTCTATATCTCCCAATTCAAAGAAAAGCCAGCCACATGTCCCTTGAGGGATGAACCTGTGACACTAATCTGCAGGCTTGTACTGGTCCAGAGAAAGATCCCCATCAATGGGAAGGCAAGACAATAATGATGGTGCACATACATCGGGGTAAGACTGCTACTGCCTCATCTCGGAAAGGATTGTCCCCTCGCCTACAAGTTCACCTGTCACTCTTGGTGTCAGAACATCCCATCTTTATGAAATGACGGTGCTGGTAAATAGCGATTCTCAGCTAGCTTGGAAGCAGGCAACCTCAGTTTTGTTTGCTCAACTAAAAACACATTAACTGGTCATGAAATCCAAAGTTTTGGGAGCCTGCCTCCAGCTGTCAGCCTCCTGTTTTGCTCCTCCCTATTTCTGTTCCTTAGACTCCAACCCCAGGACATCCCACCCTACTTAGGTGTCTTCTATGGAGCTGATGCTGTGCTAAGGAACTCATGGGTGGTGTCTGACTTTAGCCTTGACATTTGAGCAGATCAGAGCTTGAATAGTGGTTCCTATTCTTTTACAGATAAGGAAATAGGGTTTTCATTGAGAAAGATCCCATGTTTTAGCCCAGGTCACTTAGCTAAAAACCCAGTTAGCCCTTAATCACGTACCTGCTGAGTCTACATGAATTCCTAGTATTTTCTACATACACCACAATAGCTGGTTGTCCTTGTCCTCCACCAGTCATCTGACCTAAGAGAAAGCTTTGGTAGACTAATTGACCAGTAAAGCTTACAGCCAACTCATGTAGGGGTATTTGTGTTTGAACAGGCAGTTAAGCCAAATGAGTCACTAAATGCAGATATTTGGGCCTCAGGGATCCAATCTGGGCAATTTTCCCTGTTTTGGAAGGAGGGTAGGATTTCTTAATATTGGTGAACTCATATGCACATTAGACTCAGAACCACACTACCACACTGGGTAAGGAGCTCTCTGCTATGAACCCACAAGAGGCCTCTGTGCCCAGGTATCTTTCAGCTAGGTCCTGTGGACAATGTCTGTGTTGGTACCCTGTGCTCCTGGTCATATGGGTGCCCACACACTGTGCACCATGCCCAGTGCCCCCCCAACAGCCTGCCTATTTATCGAGCAACATCAAGCTTGCATCTGCCAGTGCATGTCTCTTGCCCACCTCTTCACCCCATCCACACTGGCTGTGTGCCCTAGGAACACAAATATACATACTCAAACCAGTAATCTTCCTGTTCTTGGCCCTTGCTTTCACAGATCCTTGGACCCCTGGACCATGACGACCAGTGTGGGAAGCAGAAACTGGCCTACAAACTAGAACAAGTCATAACCCTCATGAGCTTAGACAGCTGAGAACCATCCTTCCAGGGCCACCCTGGAGGGAGGGACACACCAAGCCGTGCCTCAGTCTAGATTATCATCTTTACCAAGTGCAAGTTCCGACTGGCATCAGCAGCATCCCCTGAGCAGTGCTGTCTCTCTCTCCCATCCCCCTTCTCTGCCTCTTTCTGTCGCTCCCTCCTTCCTGGTACTCTTCTCTTTCAGTTTCTCTTCCAACATGATTGGACCAAGCCACCAACTCTCAGTCACTCTTTGGTGGCTGAAGCTAGGGATCTGACCAGAAAATGTCAGAGCGGGGCCCTCTTTCAACTGCTTCTGACCCCACACACCAGCAGCAGAGCCCAAATATGGATGAGGAGCTGTGGACAGAGGACATTTCTATGCTGCTGCTTCACCTTCTTCTTGGAGAGTGGTCCAAAACTTGGCTTAGGGAAGAGACAGTGAGCTCAGTATTATCTTCACTGGGAAGATGTCACCTGGCCCTCCTCCCCACACTTCTATCTCTGAGGAGCCAGTCAGTGGTCTGGGTGCTTGGCAACAGTGAGAAGAAAGATCCCACCTTCCATGTGTGGCTAGAGTGGGGACCATGTGAGGAGTTGGGAGGTGCTACTTGGGGCTGTGTCCTACCTGTTTGGTTGGTGTTCGGAGCCTCCTGTCCTCATGGTGTCTCCCTGGAGCTCTTCCAGGGGTCCATATAGACCTCCCTGCCCAGCATCTTCCCCTGCCTGTGGAAAACCAGACAGGAGAAAAAAATTGCAGTTACATTCCATCATGGAGATACTCCTAACCTTCTAATCTAGCTCATAGCAGCAGAAATGTAACATGGAGAGAAAAAGAAAGAGGGCTGCATCTGCCCTAAAAGAAGCATTTGCTGTTCTCCATTTGCCCCCAAATTGAATTGCATCCTGACCAGTAGTCATAGGTCTAGTCCATTTCCAGAACCTCACAGTGCTGTCTAGAGAAGGCACCTCCACCTCCTTGTCACCCTTCATCAAACATCCGTGTGAAATGCAGAGTGCATCCAGGAGACTCTACCTCCAGCCATCTCCAAGGCTCCATGCCCACCATCCTTGAGAACTTCATAGAAGGCTGGGGCAGACAGCCTAGTCTCTGACCCCCACCTCTGTAGAATCTGGTGCCATTGCTATGCATACGACTTTGTCACTGGGTTGTCTAGACCTCCTTGGAACTATTTCATCAACATCTCAGCTGTGTTTTTAGTCATTCTCCTTCTTCATCTGTTCAGCATCATTGGAAGAAACATACACAAGCACAGATACACCAGGCCGGCCAGCCTTGGCCCCCAGCTTGCCATGCCTAGGAAGGACTGGAGAGCCAAGCTGAGGGACTGGCTGGAAATGAAAGGAGGGTCATACAACTAATGGTGGCCCTGGCATCCATCTCTCCATCTGTCTTTCTGTATGCTGTCTTAGCCAGTCAGGCAAATGAGTGCTCAGACATGGGACCTGGGTGAGCAGGGGCTATGGTGAGACGTGGTCTAGTGGTACGTCTGAGGAACCTGTAGTTTGGAAGGGACCTTCTATGCTGTGTGGGTCAGTATTCACTATAAGCAGGAATCTCTTCTGCCAGCTCTGGTCTGGAGTCATCCTCCACTTTGGGAAGCAAGGAGAAGGCAGAGTCGAAGTCAGAGTTTTGCCTTCACTCCCTGAGCATCAGAGATCGTTCCTTGTCATCTACTCAAAATGAACCCCATGTGGGGAAGGAGCCGCACATTTCCAACAGAGTCCGTGAAGCATCCTGCACTTTCAAGAACACTAGCCCCTTTGGATATGAATGTGTGTGTGTGTGTGTGTGTGTGTGTATGCATGCGCACATGCATGTGAATGCATGTGCAACCATGTGTGTGTATGTGTGTCTGCCCCAGGAGTAGGCAGAGAGCTCCAAAAGATTCCTTGTCCCATACTGAAGGATGTTGAAGTGTTTCCCTTCTCTGTCCCCTGATTCATCCATTCATCCTACAGTTTCAGGACATTTCAACACTTGCTTTCTAGGCTGAGTGCTGGAGAAGAGGTCATCTGTCCATAAAAAATCTGGGACTTTGGTGACCTAGAGCAGAGGATCACATGGCATTGCAGAGGACAACTGGAAAAGATACAAGCAACCTAACAAGTAGGAAAAGGAGAATGAGAAAAGATGCATTTAAAAGGAGAGAACAAATATAACCAAAGGTTTTGGCAAATGTGCCAGATGGAGAAGTATGGAATTTCTATCATTGATCATATTATTTTCTCCCAAAAAATCACAGGACTTGGAGGCCAGAAAGACTGCATGTGGGAAGCAGGCTGAGGAAGCACCTTGGCCACTAAAATATTTTTGCACACATGAAAGGGTGGGGAAGAGAGAGAGACACAAACCTATTTAACACAGATTTGCTGGATGGAAGCTCTGAGTGAGTGTGTATGAGTGAATGCATTTGATTTATTTTTTAAGTTTTGCACAGTTAGAGGAAAAAAGGAGGAAAACAAAAGACTGTTATCACAGTTTTGCTGAAGCTTTTATTTTTTACCAGATGATTATTATTGTTATTATTATGTTGTCGGTACAGGACCTCCCCATACACACTGTGTTTTTGTTATGAACAACACTTCAAACATCACAGAGAAACCCAAATGTCAGGAAGAAAAAGAGGAGGGATGGACAGACGAGTTTCCTGTCTCTCCTCATTTCTGCTGGGTGAGGCTTTGGGGAACATTTTAATTTAACTGGTGGTGTAGGTTGTTTCTGGCACTACGGCCCACATGGGGACTGAGAAACTGCTGTCACCCAAAACCACAACTCATCTTGCCCCTAAACATCCTATTTTACTTTCACTATTTTTTCCCATTTCTTCCATTTGACTTGATGCAAGTGTGATATGTTTAAAAGCAAAGTCAGTCAATGTAGGCCAAAAGCTGTCCTTTCCCCCTCCAATTTCTCTCTCAAATTCCCTTGTTATTCTCCAGCTCCTCTGGACAGATTGGGGACCCAGAGAGCTCCTAGGGTGGCCTGTGGGGTCCCAGAGGAAAGGAGTTAACTTGGTCCTGTGAACAGAGCAACTCTTGCACCTCCCTCTGCATCAGGGTCAACTTGCCCCAGTTCTGTTGTAGGTGGAAACTTTCTCTCTCCTGTGCCTGGACAGCAGGCAAGAGAGAAAAGGCAATCTCCCTCACCACTCCCTTTACCTCACCCCTACATCCTCCTCCCCTTGAGATCACAGGGTCTAAATGGTACCGGATCACACTGTCAAAAACAACTGAGCTAAGAGGCAAGGATTTTGAATGTAGAGGTCAGATGGGTTGATGTCTGGTAGTGGTGCGAAGTCGGGGAGCTTGATGGGGTCCTGAATTTAAATGGATGGATAGAGACAGTGGAGAAAGATAGCTGTAGCCTGGCCATCTCTAAGACACATGTCCCCTTTACCCTTTTCAGTAAGCCAAGACCCTGCCTTTGTTTCTTAGTAACCGTAAACAGTGGCATTAACTGAAGTTGGCTGTTGTGTCAGTTACTTCCTCAGAAAAAACCTTCCTTGCTTTCTTTCAGTATGGCTTTAAATTTGGGGACAGAGGATACCTTAAGTACCCCACACACCAAAGTACGTTACAATTTGTATAATATGCATAGCCAGAAGAGGCAGCCTTCTGGCTCAGGACACTTGAGGGGCTTGGGGTGTTTGAATGGCCATGTCCAGAGAGAGAAGTCCCTTAAATGAATCCTGAGGTTTGAGGTTGAATGTCCAGGACTGTTCCCAGGGAGAAGCTGGAGGTGCTTGTGGATAAGACCTCTCTGTCCTGGTCCCTTTGGCTCACTTCCCACTCCCAGCCCAGGATCAGTGTTGATGTATTGTCCCAGTACCTCTCCAGCTCTGGCATTCCTGGTACTCGTGCTCCACTGAGCATCTAGCCTCTCACTGTGCCCCTCTCCAGGTGGGGAGTATCCTCTCTCTTCTTCCTTGTCTCTCTTGTACCAGGAGCTCCACCAGAAGGCCATCTGTTGTCCTCAGGACAGGAGCAGCTCAGAATTCACAGTCCAGCTCTCTGGGCCTGCCCCGGCTCAGCCCTGGCCCACCCAAAGCTGCCTCAATGGGAGGGGCTCCCTTATCCAGCCAAGGCTTTGAAGGTTCTCATCAGAGGACCCATGCATCTTCCACTAACATCCCAAACAACCTCCACTCCAACCAGCGAGCCTCTGCTGCTGTTTCTAGACCCTAGACTATGCTGTGATCTACCTGGAGCCAAGCATCTTTCAGTGTGACCTAAAGAGAGAAGTCCTGTTGCCATGTGTCTTCTTTCACAGGACTGAGGAAACACTGCCTTTAACTTCACAGCATGGTGGTCAGTGTTTAACAAGTGAAAAGCCAGTATTCCCACCATCAGGAACAACCTTCCCTCTTCCTCACAGGAGACCAAGGAGGAACAGAAAGACTACCTAGGGAGCCACTCTGCAGGCAGAAAGCCCAGAGATACCTTCCTCGTGGGCCTCCCAGGAACGGCACCCAGGGAGCAGTCCTAGCAAACTCCTAGAGGCCTCTGAGGGGCAAATCTGTGAGTGAGTGATCTCCAGGGACCCACCAGGCCTGGGTGGCTCACTGCCCTGACTCCTCTTGGGCCTTTCCTCTTGTTCCTTATCCATATAAAGGCCCTTTAGGACAGGTGACTGGGGGACTCTGACTTCTCCACTCTTTCCTTTTAAAAAGCTATGGGCTATGTGCCGGGGATTTAGCTCAGTGGTTCTGCTGTCTGCCTTGCAAGTGCAGTGACCCGAGTTTGATTTGCCTCTGAGGGGCAAATCTGTGAGTGAGTGATCTCCAGGGACCCACCAGGCCTGGGTGGCTCACTGCCCTGACTCCTCTTGGGCCTTTCCTCTTGTTCCTTATCCATATAAAGGCCCTTTAGGACAGGTGACTGGGGGACTCTGACTTCTCCACTCTTTCCTTTTAAAAAGCTATGGGCTATGTGCCGGGGATTTAGCTCCGTGGTTCTGCTGTCTGCCTTGCAAGTGCAGTGACCCGAGTTTGATTCCTGGTACAAAAAAAAAAGTAAAAAAAAAAAAAAAAAAAAAAAAAAAAAAAAGAAAAGAAAAGAAAAGAAAAGAAAGAAAGAAAGAAAAAAAAAAGCTATGGGCTATGGGCCATTTATTTGGAGTCTTGTTCGTGAAAGAAAGAAAGAAAGAAAGAAAGAAAGAAAGAAAGAAAGAAAGAAAGAAAGAAAAAAAAAGCTATGGGCTATGGGCCATTTATTTGGAGTCTTGTTCATTGTTTTTTTCTTTGTATTATTTTAAGAGTTTGAGAGTGAGAAAGGAACCTGGGTGTGGGTCCCTTTGGTTGTGGTCAAAATCACTAGAGGGAAGGATACCTGTGACTTCGAAGAGGATGAGGAGAGCCTCAAGAACCAAGGGTAACCTCTCCTTTCCTTAAAGGAGTCAGGAAATTCCCCACCGGAGATGTACTAGGGGAAACGTCCTGCCTGGATCCTGGGTCTCTCAGTGCCTCCTCTTTGGCAAAGCAGCCATTACACCTTTCTCCTCCCTCCTCACCCCAAGGTGTTCTGCACAGAACCAACTAGAGCCTTACCTCACAAGGGGGCAGCCACAAGAGACCCTAAAGAGGCAGCTCCTAAAAGAGGCCAGGATGCCCCCAGCCTCTTCTCCCATGGTGCTCTGAGTGGGGTACAGAGCCTTAGCCTGTATATCTGACCATTCTTCCTGTTTAGAAAGTAATCACTGCAGGAAAAGTTGAGAGACTTTTTTCTTTCTTTCTTTTTTTTTTTTTTAACTACAAATCATTGCTCCCCCAAAAAACTTTTTTTTAATTATGAAGGATATTTAAGTTTTAAAAATATATAGAATTTTTTTGGTTATAAAAGTAATACTGATCAGAATCCCAATTAAATTCCTTGAGTGGAATGATGACTAGTAGAAATCAAATCTAAGCCAAACGAAACAAAATCATAAAGAAACAAAAAGAACTTTCTATTGGTATCGGCGGAGGTAGTGAAGTGGCCCAGGTGGGCTTGGGGTCCCTGGCTGGGGAGTTTCACTTGGCCTCTTCTCCCTCCTTGAGCTTGTGTCTAGTCTTGGCTTTCCAATCTGCCCCTGGAGTCGCTGAATCCTACAAATTTCTTACCAGCTTCCCTCAAACTGCAGGGAAGCCCTGTCTTCCCTGGCAGGGGATACCTGAGTTCTCCCTCCCCAAGAGCAGAAGCAAATAGACCCCGCCTATGCAGCTCATTTCCCACTGGTTTCTTTTGTTAGTATCTTTGAATTTCAACTGAAGCACATTTTGGAAGGGCTCCCTTTTGAGAGTAGAATTCAAAACAGAGGATACAGTTAAACAGAGCCCCAAAAGCCACTTCAGAATCCAAGACCACTTTAGCAACCAGGACTAAGGAATGCTTTCAGGCACAGAGGACAGTGGGCATCTGGGCACAGAATGAAGAAGGACTACGTGTCCTCATCTGTTCTCCTTCCCGCTCCTTTCCTGGATGTTCTCATCAGCTTGTTCGCTTGTTAAACCTTAAGTTCTTTAACAGAAAAGCTGGTTTACCTCAAAGAATCTTGTTTCCATTTGGAAACTAATGACTTTGTGTTTTGGGGTGGATGACCCTCCCCTTCCGTCAATCCCTGCCTGGGCTTGGTGTTTTGGGGCATAAGATTTTGGCCTAATCCCTTGTTGGCTACTTTGGGTGAGAACAAGACCTCCAGGCCCTACAGTGAGAAGAATTGGATGCAGCTGCCTTCCTCCCCACTTTAGCTTGTAGGGATTAGCCTGTCTCTTCCAACAGGCTCCTGCCAGGTTACCATAGCAACCCACAACTCCAGGGTACCACAAGAGACAATGGCTCAGTGAGCTGAGGTGTCGGGGGAGAGCAGGGGTTCTGGCCTGGTCAGATGACCCAGGATGAGTCCCCAAATCCTAGGAGAAGAAGAAAAACAGGAATGGGTGCACGGGTGTTTTAAGGAACTGGCAGAGGTCTCTCAGTCTCTGAACTCAGAGGCCGCTGAAGGAGGTAGAACATGTCCTTTCTGTTCCAGTTACCCTCTTCCTGCCCCACCCCATTTCTGTTCCAAAATAAAGCTCCCACCTTAAACACTAACCCTTTGTTAGAACACCGCAAAATATACCTTTAGACAACAGTGTTAAAAATGAGCCTCAAAGACAGGTGGATTGAGACCTATGTGAAAAAGAGGGTCTTCTGGTTTTGGTTTTTAAAGAAGAGTATCCTAATAAGATTTACAAAAAAAAAAAAAGATTTTAAAAAAGTTTTTAAAAAGGAAACCTATGCTATTTAAATTGGAGTCCAGTTGTAACTTGGTAAAGGCAAGCTTCTGTACCTTTGTTATAATTAATTGTATACCTGTGTATGTAAATATAAGGCATTCCTATTTTGCAGTTCAGAACAAAAAACTTATTTGTAATATAGAATAAAGTTTATTAAAAAATAATAAAAATGCACTTTGAGCTTTGGGGTCTTTATGTGACTGGCAGGAAGGGGGCAGGGGAGAAGATCGGCCATAAGTAATAAGCAAATTCAGTATGCAGAGAGACAGGGCACCCCCTCCCTCCATCTATATGATGTCCGACTCAACCAGCAGAGGTGCCTCCTTTTACCTAAAGCTTTATTCTTGGTGGCCAGGAAGCCATCTCAGTGGTGACTCCAAGCTAGGGAGTCATGGACACCACTATTATTGCATTCACCTGAACACAGCCCTCTAGTACTCACCAACAGTCCCTTAGATCTGGCTCTGGAGAGAACAAAGGAGTAACTATCTCTGCTTTAGGTCTTCTTGGTGGCTACACTTCAGTGTAAATGATTTTAACACACACACACACACACACACACACACACACACACACACACTCCATATTCTAATGGAGGCAAAATCTTGGTCCCAGTTTCCCCTGGAGATGGAAGATGGCAGTGGAAGTAGGGAGTGTGGAAAAAGACCCGCTGCTGCCTGCCTCACACATCTGTCCATGGTCCATACTGCTTGGAGGGGATGCAGGACAAGGGAAGCCAGTGTGGATGGCACAGCATAATGTGTCTCTTGGTACTTGGTAGCTACACTTCAGTGTAAATGATTTTAACACACACACACACACACACACACACACACACACACACACACTCCATATTCTAATGGAGGCAAAATCTTGGTCCCAGTTTCCCCTGGAGATGGAAGGTGGCAGTGGAAGTAGGGAGTGTGGAAAAAGACCCGCTGCTGCCTGCCTCACACATCTGTCCATGGTCCATACTGCTTGGAGGGGATGCAGGACAAGGGAAGCCAGTGTGGATGGCACAGCATAATGTGTCCTGGCCCAGGCACCAGGATATTCAGCTCCTCTGTTATGCATTCAGCTCCCTACCTTGGGCAGACCCATTCACTTCTGAGCCTCAGGCCAGCAGAAGGAGAAGGTAAAGTGGGCTAACTCCATGTAACCTCAATGTTCTTGTTATTCAGAGCAAAAGTGATAGAAAAAAGGAATCAGGAAGGGAGAAGGACAAGGAAAAAGAGACAGCAACATGGAAAGGAGGAGCAGAGAGAAGGAAGGGAGGGAGGAAAGAGGAGTGTGGGGATGGCAGATCTAAGACAGACACGGGGGAATTCAAATGTCGATGAGGTGAATTTTTCACTCCCCTGTCTCTCTACTGTCCCTCCAACCTCCCCAGCAACACCCAGGGGACCATGAGGAGAGGGTCAGGAAGGAACTTGGTGGGCATCCATCCTGGCTTGGTCCCTTGGCACTGCCCTACCTCTAGAAGAGAGCCCTTGATACTGCCAGAGCCACCAAGGAGGAAGAGGAATGAGCTTGAGAAGCAGCCGAATTTGGTAGACATAGTACAGCCAAGTGACACAGAAACACCTTGGAAATGAGCATGGAACACATGGAGACAGCTTTGAGGGAAAACCAAACTGGAGGTCTCAAGACCCAGGACAAACAGCCAGAGCTGATGATATTTACAATAAAAGTATAGTTCATGGCCAGAAGGGGATGTCCTTCCCTTCTTAGTAAAAATGCAGATACATGGGGACAGCGATCCTATACTGAAAGTTCAGCATGAATTCTACACACCCACCAAGTTCCTGCCATGTTCTCAGATATGTTTATCTGTATGCTCTCATACTCTATCAGAAGCAACGCTATGACCTTGACTGAACCACTCCTCTGTGCTTTTGCTTCCTTATCCATAAAAGGAAGGCAGTTCTAACTATACCCCAAAGCCCAGAAGATTGGGACGGGCAACTTAGACAACTAAAGCAAAAAAGATGGTGAACTCTGAAAGGTCACACACATGCGCAGCACTTCATCAGTCAAAAGAAAGAGTAAAAACAAAAGTGGATCTATCCTGGAGCCTTTCAGTGAAAAATTTAGAATAGATCCTTTATTTACTCATTGCAAGAAAAGTAAATAACATGTTATGAAGATTCTGTTGTTGTTCTTTTTGGTTCTTTTGCAGGTGGGAAGAGTAAGTGTTGAAGTTCCAACATCTCCCTGGGGTAGCACAGCTGCTTCTAGCTGAGCAGGGAATAAACGCAGGGTGGGTCACTTCTGCGCTAATCACCTCCTCTAAACCTGCCCCACTTTTGGTTTAACAAATGTCCTCCTTGAACATTGAATCAGAAGCTTTAGAGCTGCTGAGAGGCCCTGTTAAATCTGAAGGTATAGGGATGAGGTTGGAGTCATGCAGAGGGGCATCTGTTAGATTGTGTCACTGTTCAGTAATATCTATTTCCCCTC